TCAGCCACTTCTGGCTCTGACGTTGCAGTCTCCTACTGCTCCTCAAAATACTGGATTGAACAGGGCACTGGCAAGAGCAGCACTAAGGATCACAGTTCAAGCTTCTCTTCAAGGAAGGATAGTTGTAGCAACAGATCCTTGAGGATTTCGGTTAAACATAGCATCAGGGGTGGTAAACAAAATTGTCTTGGTTGTAGACAAACACTTTGAAACCAGAAGGTCTTCTTGATCAGCTGGTAAAATATTAACATAACTCTGGTCTGTATTGTCTGTGGAATTGTGCTTAAAATTTTCTGGATAATGTATCCTCTTAATGTCACATTTTCTCAGGAAGATGACAAGGTGCAGAGTGTTCTTCTCTTTGCATATGGTTCTCATTTCTGGTTTGTGGGGTTTATTTCTTCCTTATTTTTTGAAAGCAAGCATAAACAAGTGTTAATGAGCATTGACAAAGGAGCCTCTGCAGAGCCAGAAGAAGTGTGAGGCAGAGGGGGGCAAAGTCAGTAATTCAGGCTGTTTGGGTGTTTTCAGGGCATCTGCCTAAGCTGCTCTGTGTGCACTAGAGCTCACCAGGTGAACAGCATGATGGTGTCCTGGCTGCCCCCCCACTGCTGGGGTGCTCTGCAGGGGCTGCTGAGAGCTTGACAGCTTCCTTTGAGCTAATACTATTCGGAAGAAGGTAGATAAGGGAAAGAGACAGGGTGTAAGGAGAGCAAAGGGAAAACTGTATTAAACACCAAAAAAAGCATTTAAATTAGAACATCCTGATGCAACAAAAAAAAAAAAAAAAAAAGGGCATTTAAATTAGAACATCCTGATGCAACAAAAAAAAAAAAAAAGGCATTTAAATTAGAACATCCTGATGCAACAAAAAAAAAAAAAAAGGCATTTAAATTAGAACATCCTGATGCAACAAAAAAAAAAAAAAAGGCATTTAAATTAGAACATCCTGATGCAACAAAAAAAAAAAAAAAGGCATTTAAATTAGAACATCCTGATGCAACAAAAAAAAAAAAAAAGGCATTTAAATTAGAACATCCTGATGCAACAAAAAAAAAAAAAAAGGCATTTAAATTAGAACATCCTGATGCAACAAAAAAAAAAAAAAAAAAAAGGGCATTTAAATTAGAACATCCTGATGCATGTTCCACACCCATTGTTCATATGTTCAGGCACTTTGATATTTTGGATTTTCTCAGTTTCTGCTGTTTCTGCCCTGTTCCGCCTCACCAACCCACTTGCCTCTTGGGCTTTGTCTTATCTTTGCAGTAGTCTGGTCTGCCCGGTCTCATCCACATCGGCAGTACAGATCATCATGGGTAGTGGGAACACAGTGTTCTCTGAGCTCAGCTGCCCTGAGCATCACCAGAGTAGTCTCACTTCAGGCTTATACTCACATGGAAAATCTTTTCTTTCCATTAATAATGAGCAGTGGGGAAAAAAAAAATGAAGAAAGTATTAAAAGGCATAGAATTGAGGCCCTCATACACAGGCATCTTAGAAGCTTAGGGTCTCTAAGCACTATTAGTAAAACGATTGCAATATGAATCAGGAGGAGAGGTCATGGGGGAAAAGGTCCACAAAATATTCCACAACAAATTGAAAAACAACCAGAATTGAGGTATTTATTCCAGGCACACTCTGCTAGAAAAAATGCTCCCTATCTCTTTGAAACTGGCCAAGACAGGGTTTCTGTTAAACAAAACAGAAGAAACACCACTCTAATTTATTGGGATGTTTTCCATATGGTAACACTCACATGGGGAGCTGAATCTCCTGCACAGGACAATTAGTTGCTATCTGGATGGCAACAAAAGCCTCTGTTTCAAGGGTTTTTGCAATGGTGGCTTCAGCTGCATCAGATGAGGCTCTCTGAACTCATGTTCTGCTGAGTTCTTGTAAGCCAGCTGGTCCTACCTGCCCACTACATAACATGATCTTTTGGCAGTGATTACTTTAAACTGTGCACAAAGCATCTCTTGACTGACTTAACTGGCTTCAAAAGACTCTGTGACCAAGTCTGCATCAGCAGGAACAGTTTCCACAGACCACCTACAAGTCTTACCTATGTGCAGCTGAATCCATTCTACAGCAGGACCTGGCTCAGGGGAAGCCCACCTGCACAGCCCCTTCCTGTCAGCACATTTAAGCATATAAATAGTTGCTATCAGCTGGACTATGCACAGCAGGGGCTGTTTGGGGTAATCTCCAGGGTTGTCCAGAATTCCCAGTTCCTGTAAACAATAAAGCAAATACTTTGTTGTGGAGGCAGCTGGGGGTTCAGTCATGTTCTCGCACGTCAGTGCATTGTCTCATCTATGCAGAGGCTAGCTGGTAAGGTCCTGGATCACCCAGGCAATTAATGACTAAGTTGATGAGATGTGTATACAGACATAGCCTGATTCCCAGCTACACTACTACTCTGACTACAATTTCCTTCTTATATGAACATTATAAGTGAAATTCCATAGATTTCACCACAGCTATCGTGTATATTTTTATTTCATTTGCATAAATATGTTTGTGCTTGAACACTCTGTAAGCCTCTGTCTTACTTGGAGAATGGGTACCTCTAGGTTTTTGACATTGTTCTTATGCAGAACATCCTCACCATGGCAGCGGACCAGTTTTCTTGATCCTGTCCATGTTACAGTATTTCCTGACATCAGTCTCCTCTCTCTTTTGTGACTCCTTTCCTTTCACTTTCTGCTTTCTTCCAACCAAATCTGCCATTTCGTGATCATATCATGTGCCAGTTATTCTGTCTTCTTATCTGTAAAAACTGCTCCCCTCAGAAATGTCCTTAGGATTCATACTTCTTCCTGTCATCTTCTCCAAGGCTTTGGTGTGCCATTCCTCATTATCCTTCAGTGCTTCAGCCCCCTGGTTCTTCCTTGTTCCTATTTGGAATGTCTGCTTTCCTCCTTCTTCCTGTTGAGCAGACACTCACCTGTGGAGGGATCTGGTTATGTTGCCGTGCTAGAGTTGCAGCCAAGTTTCAGCACAGGGCGCTGAAAATGTGGAGGATCTTCCTACCCCACGCAGCCCCCAAGCCTCTTAACAGTCTTCTCCTGCATGGAGCTCTGCAGCAGGGCTGAAGCCACCAGCAAGTGAGGCTACACTGCCTTTCCCCATTTTCCTTCTAGTTTAGAACAAAGGAGTTGCGTATGCCAAGCTAAACTAAAACAATGTAGACATGTAAACCTCCTCCCAGTATATGATTCCTATATAGGGTCTCTTATTATGCACGGTTTTCCTTCTTTCCAGAGGAATGTCCAAAGGAAAAATTTTCATGACAACCTATACTCATACAAGTGAGGTTTTCCATACACTTCTTGCTGAAATTAATAGAAGTTTCATAACTAAATGACTGTACAATATTTATACCTCTTATTATCTAAACTACCTATGAACACTTACTTTGGTGTGTGTTTAGCTCCTCTGCTTTTAAATAATTTAGCACTTCCTGACATTTCAGTGCAAGGCACCTTATGTTAATTAAAATAGGAAGAAAATTCAGAACATAGAGTTACATTTTTGCAGCAGTTATTATTGCATGTTGGGATATTATGCCAAGCTAAATATAATTATCTGCTGTAATTCTAGGCTGCTACTCAAACATGCAAAAGCTACATGGTAAGCCGTTACAGGACTGAATGTGGACATCACATCCCATTCAGATGGCATATTGAATACATAGTACTAATGTGATTGAAGCAGTGGCATATAAATTTCAAGTGGCCTTTTGAAATAGATTAGCCCATTCACTAGAAAACACGCACAACATTAAAAAAATCCAGCAAAAAGCTGTTTTCTGCCCTTCTGCCAAGAGTTTCAAGTGATTGACATTTTCTTACTGGGATTTTGCTCATAATTAAACACTGTGGTAGTTGCGTATTGTTATTCAGATTTAATCAGAAATAATCTAAATAGCTGTGCAAAGGTTAAGCCACTTCTGTAAAATTAGCAGTGGATTAGATACTTTGTAAACTGTTTTAATATTAAATCCTTAGGTAGTGAAAAGACAGAAGCAGGAGAAATTTAAGGTACAAGGGAACCCTCAGGTGAGCAATGTGATAACTGTGGGAAAAGGTGGAGCATGGGGGGGAAAGGCTTAGAAAACAAGTTTTTTCTTGCAAAGAAAGCAAGAAGATGGCCAGACCCAGTGCTGGCAGAAGCCTGCTGGAAGGCAGGCTGACCAGCAATGTGCTCACCTGGCCTTGCCGAAAAAGGCAGGCATGGGAGGTGAGACATGGGACAAATGGGGCCAGAGAGGAGAGCTTGGGAAAGCTGGCTCTGCTCCATGAAGGCTTCCAGTGTCCCTGCTGGGTTAAGGGTAGTCATTGGGAATGGACAGATAAAAAGTCGTTCTATATGAATTAATTAAGGAAATTTTCTTCTTTATATGCATTTATGTATTTGTTTATTAATTTGGTTTGTGAGGTAGGGAGTCCCTTTGGTCCCATGGATTCATCTCTAACTTAAGTAAATATCAACTTGCAGGAGTCTTTCCTCATCTTGCTTGGTTTTTTACCTGTTTATTTCCAAACACAGTTGTCTGTTTTGGCACCCGGTTAATGACACAATGGAAGTGGCTGTTTCCAGCTGGATAACGCTCAGAAGAACATAATAGTTAGAGATGGAACAGCAGATTATTCCTTTCCAATGGCTGGATATACAGACTATTTCTAAAATAATAATACTTTCAAACTGGTGTCAATTTTTCGATTAAACAGTTTTAAAGCAGAATTTTTCTAAGGGAATGTATTTGGGCCAGTCCTGATTTTATCTGGCTGGGTACAAAGAAAATAGCACCAGTGTACTTACTCTGATTGTGTTACAATTTTAACTGCTCTTGCAATATCACTCTTTAATATGTGAGTTCCCACATGTTTCCATTCTGAGTGTCTCTCCACTCTTCCTTGCCCAAGATAAGTTTGTACATTTAGTGGCGATACCGGAATACGCGTTGAACGTGAACGTGTTGTTTGTTTTCTTAGGATTTGAATTTTTTGAAACAAGTGCCAAGGACAACATTAACGTCAAGCAGACGTTCGAGCGTCTCGTGGATATCATCTGTGACAAAATGTCGGAAAGTCTGGAAACGGATCCCACCATTGCTGCCAGCAAGCAGAACACACGGCTAAAGGACACCCCGCCTCCACAGCAGCCCAACTGCGGATGTTAATGCAGCTATCAGCAAAGGCAGCTCCAGTCTGTTCTGTTGCCAACAGAGTATTTATGAATGGTCTATATGCCTTTATTTATACTGTGTTATTAATTTATTTGGGAGAAAAGTCCTTTGTTTTACATCAGCAGCTGATCGAGTACGCATATGGCGATGGGGAGGTTATCAGTCTGAAAGGACGATCCATTTTTAGCACCTGGCTTTTGCATGCAGGATGGCTATTAGTTTCTCTTTTCTTTTTTGCTGCTTTACATTACGCTTACTTCAGCTGGTGCCGTGTCCTCAGACCACATTTGCCTAGAATTGACTCTTGCTTCATCAGTTTCAAATTATATAGTTGAATCCTTGGGGTAGTGGCCAAGGTGTTTTAGATATGCTTTCCTGATGCCACTTATATTTTCTCCTGACTGAAAATTAATTTAGAAAATTAAATTTAGAAGTATTCCCCTAGTGAGCCAAGGGAATTCTGTCCAGATCATTTGTATAAGGGACACTTCTTGGAGTGTATTGCCTTGGCAAATTTACACTCGTTATGTTACACATCATGGAAACTGAAGAAGTTAGAAAGAAGTTAGTCCCTGGACCAAAAGCCACCAAAATTCCCTGTGAGTTTACACCTTTCTGAAACTGGATTTAATTTCTCATTCCATTATTACAGAGATCCCAGTAGTACCTACCCCAGTAGTGGAGGGCTGACTAGCTCTTTCCATTTCTACCTGCATGAGATATTAAACCCATAGTTTTACATTACCCCTGGCAGAGCCAAATCCATTATGCTTAGTTGTTTATAGCCTAAAACTGTCTTGCCATGATGCTGTCTAACCTGAATACTGAAGTTTTCAGGAATATCATCTCCCATTTAGCCTCTGAGAGAACCATCACCATACTGGCTACAAATGCCTGCATTGTGCTTAGACCTATTGCAGAAGTGCTGCTGCTGTCAGTGAACTGGAGTTTGACCTCGTTTTCACTTTGATGGGGATATTTATTTTGACAAGACAATCAGAGTTTCACAAGATTTTTAAAACTTTAGGAGTAATAAAAAGTTGTCAACATTTCTAGTGTTAGGCTGAATACATTCCTAAGATCAGCAAAAGGCTGTGAAGACAGCAGAATAAAGTACACAAATTCTTTTTTAATACAGTGTTAAAAATAGTCTTATTTCACCGTTTTTAAAAGTACTCCTCTAGTAATTGTTGGCAGTTTCTTACATCTGTGCCCTGGAGTACTTTATACAACTGCTTTACTTGCGTCACAGTTACATTTTTTAACTAAGCGGCATAATTGAAGAAGTGTTAACTGTTTTATTGTTCTAATTAGACAGAATTTATGACAAGGCTGACATTTCTTAAACTGTCTGCAGCAGGAAAAATCAGAAGACAATTAAAAAAAAAGGAAGTGATACAAAGTATTGCAAACTGCTCACAGCTACAAAGAAACACATTACTTTTTTTGAAGCTAATTTATATAACTCCTGAGACACACTAAGAGAAAAAAAGTCACTTTTTTAAACGGATTAAGTAACCTACATACACTTTGACACAGCAAAAATGACTTCCAAATAAGGCATGTAGACACACGTAAAATGGATACACCATCAGGACTCCACTTTGGCTGCCTAACTTAAATGAATAAATGTTCTTTCTTCAGCCTGGGGTTTTAAACCATGTGTGTCCTGTTAGCTAGTTTCCTTAAGCACTTGTTTGCCTAGTAGACATGGAGACTGGACTTGTTTAGTTCCATGAAGGAGAAGCACTGTCCTCTTTGGGGCTGATGAGCAGCCAGGTGGAAGAGGCCTGTGCTGTCCCAACCATAACCCTGCCTCTCTCCAGGGATGCTGCTTTTCTCTCCCCCATCTATGGCAGCATGTTGTTAGCTGTGCTGAGAGACTTTCATTAATATCTCTTCACCCACTAGGTAACCACCACACTTGCTTGGGAAAAAGATGTGATAAGAAACTGAGGAAGATGGTGGGCAGTTTTCCACCCTTTTCTTGTTATGTGTAGTTACTCCTCTTGGAGAAAAGGGAGCAGGGAGCCTTGAGACATCACTCAGCTTCAGCCCTCAAGTCCTTTTAGAAAATGTTTAGGTTGTGTTATTAGTCTGAGACCTTTCCAGCAAGGCAAGGAGAGAGGAGGCCATAGTTACATCTCACATGAGCTTGGGCATATCCTGGATCATGCATCATGGCTACAAGTCCAAGTATTCTTCCAGCTTTGCTCTGGGATGCTTGCTGCAAAATAGTCATCTCCTGTGCACATTGTAACAAGGAAGAAGGACTCCAAGATGTCCCTTGCTACAGCCACGCCTTGCTTGTACTCCATTGCAATGAATTCCAGACCCTTCCTGCCTCTTTATGACCATGTAGACTCTAATCGGTGGTAGCAATACATCACTAGAATATATGGGTTTTTAACAAATTGAGTGATAGATAAATAGTTCTTTACTTAAATAGGATGAATTAATTGCTTCTTATTTTGCATCAAGAGTCTGGGCAGAAGACTAACAGCAAAATCAAAGAGGAGGAATCTCACATTTTCTAAGACAACTGACCTCCCTAGCCTCCAGTATCTCTGACCTTCTGCCTGGGATGGGGAGTAGCTGCTACCTAGAATAACGTTGTTCCTTAGACTGCCAGCAGTGTGGTATAACAAAAACAGCAGCAGAACCAGTCAGTATTTAAAAATTCCTAGGATCTTTGTGTTGACGCTCAGACACTGTAATAGGGTTCAGAAGTAGATTAATTTTTTAAGTGCTCACAAGAAATCCTTGGAAGTTTTCAAGACTGGACTGGCTAAAGCCCTGGACAGACTGCTTAGACCTCTTAGTTTGACAGTGTTTTGAGTGAGAGGTTGGGAAGGATGACCTTCTGATATCCCATCAAACCCAATTTGTCTTAGCATACTTTCCTCTGAAATTGAAAATATGTAGAAGTTCAAGTAGATCTTTCCTTAACAATCAGGATTGCCACTGTTGGAAAAGTAGGCTTTGATTTGTCATCACAGTTTAGCTTTTGCAGCCAGATGTTTCACACCAATATTGAGATTTTTGCTATAAAGTTTGCTCACATTTAGATCAGGAGTGTCATGATCTCAGTAGCTCTCTCAGGTTGAACCTGGATATTGTAGAGAAACATGAAGACAGAAAGGCTTTTGAAAAGTAGCTGATTAACGCTTCCCCACATATTCTAAAAATTTAGTTTGAATTCTGAGGGAACTAGCAGGAAGGGGAATTTTATTCTACTTAAAGTTATGCCTTGTCCTATTCATATGGTGGGATGTCCAAAAGCAGCCTTTGTCAATCTAGTTTGATTTCTTCAATCTTGTTCAGCTGCTATTGTCTTATGTGATAGAACTGCAATTTTCTTAAATGCAAGTAGAGCTAGGCTGAACACTTTTGGAAATCACATCCCAACCTGATGAAGGGCCAAAATTTAAATAGTGAGTGGCTTGTTCTTAACACATATCCAACAGTCACCAATTATGAGTTGTGCGAAGAAACAAGCAGGATTTGGTTAGACCGCTGATCTACCCACTGGTGTAGCACAGTTCTGTCAGGAGAAAGTACCAGGCTAAAAAGATGGAAGAGGGATGGATGATTAAGTTGAAAACTTGGATAAGAGATTCAAATCTACTTTCAGCCTCATTCTTGGTGAAAAAGTACTTGCCCACTCTGGACTAATTTGTTGTCACTCTCAGCACAGAAATAGGACTGAATGTCACAGAGCCTTATTGGTCCAACCACAGATAACCCCTTCAGCTGAGATTTAGCCCACTTGGCAAGATACCGCAGCGAGCACACAGAGCATGTTGAATTTCTGAGAGATTAGATGGCTTTGGACGAAGGGTCCTGAGCTCCATAGTGCCAGCTGAACTAATACAACACAACCCATTTTCCAAGTTATGATCTAAACTAAAGTTTTAGAGGCAGGCTAATCCTGTGCATGGATAATGCACCAGCCTTATCATGCTCTGACAGTGTCTTGCTTGCTGCACGTTCAAACTGGTGCTCAGAAAATGCCTTGGGAGCACACAAGAGCCCAGGCTGTGGCTGGTTCCTGCAATGCCTCCTGGCACCGACCAGCCAAACAGCTAGCAAGCCCTGCTGGGTTGAACCTTCAGATGTATGTTTTTGATTCTGATAAGAGTTCATGTTCACAAGCGTTCCGCTCCTGATAGCTCAACTAATTTAGTACTGTATCTTGTTGTTGTTGTTGTTGTTGTTGTTGATTTGTTTATTTAGACCTGTTTATTTGGTGTTTGAAATACATATGAGCTAGCCTGGTTTGCTGTCAAAAAATACTCTTTCTGAACAGCTGTGTACGTGACTGTTACCTGGAACTGTTTGTTCCTTTGTGCTTATACTTAATGTAATGCCTAGAGAAACTACCTGAGCAACTGCATCTATGTGGCCTTTCCAGAGCACCAGTCTGAAGGATTAAGTTTTCTTCCCAGTCTGCTCAGCTCTGTATATTCAGATTAAGTTTTCTTCCCAGTCTGCTCAGCTCTGTATATTCATCCGCACCACCTGCACCTTCTTTATTTTAGGAATGAAGTGCTATTTTAGGGTGCACAAAATCTGCTGGAGTTTGATCCTAACTTTGAAAAGTTAGAATTTGTCATTTTTAGGAGAAAAGTAATAGTGGCACAAATTCTACATCTGAGGATGAGGCCTTTTTTTCTTCAATAGCAGACGAATGATACTGCATTTGCGTTCCAAAAGAAGCTCCCCTCCCAAGTCGTGTCTCTCCCCCCCACACCCCCAACTTCTCTTTCTATATTTGTTTGAGAGAGGCAAGGTTTATTTCTTACTTTCTTAAGGGGATCAACTACATTACTGTTCTGCAGACAGAAAGATTCCTCCTTGGCCTGTTTCATAAAGACAGACACAAAGAGTGTGAGCCTAGTTCTTTAGGATGACGGATTTAGCGATGTCAGACCATGAGTATGTAAATTCTCGTAGATAAACCCTCAGGGGGTGTAAAGCATGTCCTCATGCCAACAGGGGAGTTAGTTGTGTTGATTTATACCATTTAATCCATACACATAGTCTCTTAACCCATGCATTCTGGCTCCAGATTCTCCAAAGTTCATCATTTGTCAAGTCCCATTTGTCAAGATGCACCTAATTTACATTATTTGAATGACTTCTAACAGTTTTCTTTATTAAAGTGAACATTCCTAATTTAAACTTTTCTTTTTCTTATTTTTCCTTCTTTATTTTTTTCCTTTGTTTATCTGTGGATGTTCATTCAAGCAGAAGTTGTGACTACACATATATAGTATACACACAGCAGTACATCTTTTACACTCATTCAGCTCCCACTGTTACTTGTTCATCTTCAATGCAGCCTTCCCTAAATGCCACAGTGGAATTTATCCATAAATTCTCATTAGCACCAGAAATCAGCTAGGTTACATTTGCAGACCATAGGTTTGTTACCCATGGTTCCAGCAAATGTAGTTGGGTTGTCATTTGTAAAATAAGGTACCTGGTATTTGATGGGGGTGGGGAAGCAAAAGTCCTAATCTTCCAATAACTTCAGGATCATGCATAACATGCAGAAATGAAAGCTAGAGTTCGCTTACAACTTCTGGCGATAGATTTCCTCAAGTAATTCTGACATGTACCTGCAACTACTGTTAAAAGATATGTTTGTGCTGTAACTCCTGTTTAATATTTTGTCAGTAATGTCAGATGTGTTGTGGCTCAGTTGGATTGTCAGAGTTTGTAATCTATATATTAGTGTTTGTGGAATTCAAATGTCTTAAATGTTGCATGAAAATATGTTATAAAAATATATACGTTTTCTATTTTTGAATACCTCAAAACTGAGGAATCATGGGCCAATAAGTGCAATATTTAATTATTTACTCAGTGTATATAAACTTGTGTGAAAGGGAGAAGTGTCATGTATGTGTGATAAGGTGTTAATGATGCCTGTGTGGCTTAAGATTTCCAGTAGATATGTGTGTCTTGTAGTAAAATTTATATAGTAAACACTTTACCAGTGTAGTGTAAGAATACTCCTAAGTCATTTAAACTATTTTTCATATATAAGATAATGGTAAAATGTATTTGTATGTTTGCTGCAAGTGCATGTCAATTTTACTTTTAGAGTTGTGAGTGTCCTTTTTGAAAATTAAGTTACACCAACACTGGTGGGACAGCGCTTTCATTCAGAAGATTCTTGTAACCAGTTCTAATCTATCTGCTATATTTTTAAAGCATGTTCTCTAGAAGCATTAAAAGAACCTCCTAGAGCTCAGCAGTTATGGTGAGTTATTAATTCTAAAAGAATCAGTTACAGTTATAATTACATGCTCTGCCTGCCTGTATTGCATAATATAATGTGGGCATATTTTCTTTAATCTGGTACAGTTAACTCATAATACTTAATTGAAATATTAAATAGGAGTACCCAGTACTCTTGCAGATGACTCAGATGGTGCCCTGAGCTAACATGACCTCGAAGGTCACAGTCAAAATGGACCACACGGCAGATGGTGACCTTAGTTAGTCTGCCAATGAAGTTTCTTAACTTTTCTAGATCCTAAATATGGAAGATAAATCCTTAAATACATTGACACAGACTTTTCACTCAACTGTTTCATGGCCCTCAATGTTGAACAACTCCACTCTTAGCAGTAAAGCTGAGGTTGTAAATGGAAACAAAATGCAGCCCAGAATCTAACCACGAAATTAAAGGGAGACATCTAATCATTTCTTTTTATTTTCCTGTTCTCCTTGCATATTTCTAATAGTTCTCTAAGCACACAAGCATGGCCATCACTACAAAGCAAAACCCTTGGGTACATTTTGGACCTTAAACCCTGAATCACTGATACACCGTGGGTTCCCAGCTGTGCCCACAACTCTGCAGAGGAGAAGCTTCTTCTGTTCATTCTTACTACATCTCTGGTTTCAAAGGAACATGTAGTCTCCCTTGGGAATTTGCTAAATAGAGATGGGCCGCTAAGTCTGGGCCAAGAGAAGTAACTGGTTTTGCTGAATGGTTTTCATATCAAATTATTTTTGTTAGTACCACATTAAAAGGTACATAGGTAAGTTTTTAGTTTGATTTGAGGCGTTTTTGTGACAATAGGCAATGTTGATTCAGGTTTGGTTTTGTTTTTTTTTTTTTAAATTAGCTTAATCAGGAAAAGAACGAAACTCTACAGCCTACTGGAAACCAGTATCATGGTTTTCATTTCCTATGTCATCAAACATGTGAGAAAGCCAAGTAGCCAGATTGCATTAAGAGGCACAGAATGGTACTTGCAATGACCTGAGCAGGCCTTAAAATGAAAACTTCAGCAAGATTATATAGACCAGAGTGAAATGAAAATGTATGTGGAGAGAAATTCAGGATTACTTAATAAAAAAAGTAAATTCTTCATATCTTTGTAGCTGAGCAGCAGGCAAAGCAATAGTCATAATATGAGTTACTACTTCAATACAGATACACAGATTGCTACAGGACTGGGGATGCTTACCTAAACTTTTTATTGCAAAGTGACCTGACTGTACAAGGGCTGACAGATAATTTTGCCTAGCATTTTTGTTATTCTTCATAGACATGTGATTACATACACAAGGATAAATGCTTACCTTGAAAATATGTAGCTGTTCTGGCTCCCTGAGGCTAACTTGCTTGCTGAATTGTTCTTGAAGAAAAGTTGAAGTACTTGCTTAGGATACATTTGTAAGGGGGTGAGACTCAATCTGTCCCTCCTCCCCTGACTTTTACTGCAATATAGTTACTGTGGTTCTAAAAAATATGTTAGTTTAAAATGCTACTGGGTGACAAATTTTGTGAATCTTCTGCATACATCCACAGGAGCTCTTGTCTAAACGTGAAGTACAAGTTTTATCCATGTGCAGTTTTAATTCTGTGTGGACATAGAGACCATATGTATTCCACTGGATATTCTGTTTGTATGTACCTTCTGTATACCAAGTGAGGATTTTTGGTTTAATTTTTGGTTGGAAGGTTTTTTTTTTCCTTTTGCGATTACAATAAATATTCAAGAGACTATATTCATGAATATCTCAGTTGTGGTGAGATGGTCTTACCCCCTCCTCCCTCTGTTTATTTCCTTTCATTTACTAAAACTGGGAGAGAATGACTTCAGTTTTGGCAAAATAATGGACAATGATAACACATCTGCAATAATTAATTTCATCAGTATCTTCTCAGTAGTACTGGTGAGTCATAGCTCTGTATGAATCCTACAGAATTCACTGGAGACTTTGCTCTAGGAGTCTGCAGGGGGGTGACTAGACATTTGCCTACCAAAAGCACACTTGTCTCAGCCTAAATGCTGACCCCTTAAAATGGGGCAAAGCTTTTTTCTTTTGACATTTCACTGTATAAACTGTTAAACAGTATCTGTGAATTTTGGATGCTGTTATTGGCTGGTCATGGAATCTTAGCCCGAATGAGCCATCTCTCTTTTGTGATGGGTGGTATTTCATACAAACTGTGATATATCACTGTCCAGGTATTGGTTTTTCTAAACACACGCACACACAGACACACACTTTGTGCTTGTTTGAACCCTACTATGACTCCTGAATTTAAGTTCCCTCCATATAAATCCTAATCTTCAATTGATATGTTGAACAGGTCACACTGTACCCTTTGCCCCCCAGCTCCTGCTCTCAGGAGTCCACCTACAAACTCCTTTAGTGTTTGCTCCCTCTCATCGTTCCATGGTGTTTCAATCAAGTCCCCCAGTTTTTCTAGTATATTTACATCTCATTTGCAAAGTAATGGGGATTAATGCCTAGTTCTCACTCAAAACCAAGTGCTTCCTAGCTTATTGCTTGGGATCCCATACCTCTAGGCAGGTTTATGCTGAGGGCTCTATCCATGCAGCTCACTGCCCTCACTCATAGGGCTTCTCTTTCTAACACAGACTCTTGTCACCAAATCACCTCTGAGAATTAAAATCCCTCATTCCTCCCAGCTGCCAGCAAACATAGGTCTTCCCCATCCACCTTCCTCATGCCATTGCTCTGTGAGTTTGGCCCTAACGTACTTGCTCTGCTGACTAGGGTGAGCAGAAAACAAGAGAATGAGGCATAAGAGGGGGAGGATAAGAGGAAAGGAACAGACACCTTCTGACTGATACCTTGGAACAAGAGAATTTTTGAATTGCTGTTACTTTGAATACATTGGGCCTTTTAACATATAGAATTGACTAGAGGAAATCACAGATGGGTAGATGAGAACAGCAATCTATTAGGACTAAACCTGTCTCAACAACAGGTGTTTCTTGCTCAATAAAACCCAATTTTATCTTATTTTGCAGTCAGAAGGCTGGAGACAGAGACAGAAAGTTCCTAACAGCCCAAGAAAAAGATGTCAGAAAAGATGCTGGAAAGGAGAGTTATAAATGGGCACAGAGAAGATTCCTGACTTTGACTAAGAAAGGGCAAATATGCAGAATGTCCCAGTGAAGCGAGGGTAGATGACTTAGCAATGTGATCCAGCAAAACCAAGACAGACAAACTGTGAGTTTACCACCAACTGAAGGGAACCTGCAAGTTAATGAGAGAACAGCCAGTTAAGTGGAAGGAGGGTTGTTTTTTGTACAGATCTGTGCAAATCTTGAGCTGTAAAGCAAGCAACAAGGTGCCTTCAAAAATCTTACGAAGTGCCTTGCTGTATCTGTGTCTATTTGTAATCATGAAGAATTAAAGTGTAAACCAAAAAATTTAGAGCTTAACTAGTTGACATCAGGAAAATATGTGCCTTAAGCTATGGTGAACTCAGGTCACCAGTGGCACACACCAGCAACGGGAAGCTGGTGTGAGGTCCTGTCCTCTGTGATGTCCTAGCCAGAGGGTCTACCTAGAGTCTGGTCCCAACGCTCCACCAGGGCTCGAGAAGCTGGAGGTGCTGAAGGAGTGGCAGCATGAGGAGACACCCCAGCCCAATGAGGACGAAGCCCGAGAGTGAGCTCAGGCAGCTCAACAATGAGGATGGAAAATGAGACCAGAAACCATCCCAACCATATAAAAAGGGTGTGGAAGGGCCAAAGCCCATCCAAATTCCCTGTTGTTAGGAAGAAAAAACAATCTTCTTGGAGAGTTAGAAACTCTAGTATTGCACTCTTCACTTGCTAACAGCTGCCTGGGGAGGTGCATCTGGGGCCTCCCCTAAGCAGGAACATGGTCTCGTGAGGACACACTGCATTTCCTCATGCCCAAGAATATGCAAAGAGTGACCTTGGGCAGGCAAATTATCACCCCTAATGATGCAGTGCAGCTAGCCCAACGCACCTTGGCCAGGAGCAGACACAAGCATGCTTGTAGCAGAGCAACCTCGCTCTGTGGCCCACACTGGGGTCTCTGAGGCCCCAGGAAGTGCGTACACACTTGTTGTGAATCAATGCCTGTGGTTAGAAAATAAGTCTATGAATAGCTGTAGAACTTCTGGGGATGCCACACAGGATGTCTGCCTCTCACTAGCCTCTTAAAGTTTTAAAACATAAATAAGGTTTTTACCAATATAACACCAGGCAGCCATTTTTTTAAAACCCTGCCCTGCTTTTCTTTCAAGACGTACCCTAAGAGCAAAGCTGGACACAGCATGTCTTCATTTTTGCTGTTACCTGTAATGGTCAGCAAGGCAGGAAAAAGCTTAGCCCCTGACTCTGATACTGCCAGATCCTTTGTAGGTCAGCAATGCAACGCGTACACCTTCTGCAGCTCCACGTGATGCCCAGCCAGCCTTGCCCTGCAGCAGCTCAGGCAACATTTGGTGGGTGTCTCAGCTGGAACTTGCCTTTGGGCCATCTCTTTTATTTCCACTGGGGAACAACATCAGAAATTGTCTAGAAAATAAAGCCCATTTCAACTTGCAGTTTTCTCTCTTCATTTATTGACAATGGGAAGACAAGTTTTCTGTCTTCCCTGCATAAGGGACTAATGTTTTACTGTCTAACTAAGGTCAACATGCAACAAATGTCACTTTGCACCTATGCAGGATAAAAACATCTGCACTAGCACTATTGACAAGCTGGTTAACCAGCCTCCTTTCATCTCACAGGGAATGGGGACCATCTACAAGGATAGAAGTACTTGGTGGCAATTTCAAGGCTACAGGAGGTCTCTTACCTCCTGTAAGGTAGGTAACACAAAGGATATCAGACACAGCCTTTCATTTCATGATTCCTACCCTTTTTGGTCAATAGGTTGGCTGCTATCTGCTTTTATTATATGGGTGTTTTCCATACCGTGGTATTAGTGGACATAGGTACCTGGCCCTGGGATAAGAATTTCAGTCTGGAAATTGCCTAATTCCCCTTCTGCATGTGACTCTCAGTTTTCTTCCACTAATTACTTTCCTGAAATATAATGGTAGAAATTCCTAAAATATAATAGCAGTGATTTTTCCTGTTGCATTAGCAGCTAATATCTTCACTATTACATTTCAGAAGGAGCCAGAAATATAACTTATAACCCTGCTGAGCCTTCTTTCTTATGTTGCCAAATCCTGTCCATAATGCAGAAATCACAGACTCAGAGTGGCAGGTGCCTGGCAACTGCGACCAAAGAAAATGGAGAAATCACAGAAGGGCATTTTGGAGATGTGCTGGCAACAGACTCTCCTGCTGCATTGAGCTCAGTGGTGGCCTAACCTCACGAGATTGGGTCAGTGACCTTGGTGTCTCAGTGAGAGGCAAACAGATGTTTTCTCCCCTATTCACCACTTATATTCCAAACAGAAACTGCGACCTTTTAGTGCTGGGATTCTGGGAAGTGAGTCTTATTTTTTGAAAAATGAGGTCATGTAACCAGAAGAACCATCCACTGTACCAGGAAAGGTGTGGATAAATGCTGCACTCAAGTAATAAGCCACGACATACGCGCATGATGATGAGAGACAAGCCACAGCAGGAAAAGGCAGTTGGGCCTGGATGGTTTTGACGACCACAGACACTGTGCAAAGCCACTTCCAAGTATGAGCAACGGAAACTATGATCTTGTGGGCAGCCTCTTTTCCTGGTCGTCTGTTTGACTTCAGCAACCCTTCAGAATCCAGCCATGAGGTTTCTGAGCACTACATTTGCTCGGGAGGTGCTGCTCCAGCCCAAGCAGGCAGCCACACAGCCCAGCTGATGGTTTCAGCTTCTATTCTTCAGGAATAGAAGCAAAGTTAGTGAATATGGAAAGACCTAGTCCCTTTGTCCATTTTAGAGGTCACAGGGCTTCTGGCAAGGGGGAGCCCTGATGTGTGTAGTTGGTAAAACTTGCCATGGGTCTTACACCCTGGGCTATGCACACCTGCTTACAGAGATCACATGGGGTGGTCGATAGGACCTGCCGCTACAGCCCCAGGCTGCTGTGGTCGGCACGGCCAGTCCTCAAATTAGTCGGGTTATTTCAGCATACCATTGAACGGCCTGGTGCTGACAGGCTCATGTAAAAAGCTTGCTTTCTCCCCTCTGCCTCTCTACTTTTCTTTGCACTGAAATAAAAACCAGATGACAGAAATGTCTGTTAGCTGACCACCACTTCTGGTCTCACAGCAAGAACCAGTCCTCCTGTTGTCCAACTCCTCATACAGGTGCCGCAAGCTCAAATCTCTCCCAGCTCCCTCCCAGTCCCTTCTTCTCCCAGGCCCCTCGGGAAGGAGCAGCGAGTGCCTTTCTGCTCCGTGGTTTATAATTGCATTAGATAGCCCTCTAATGTGTGTGCGCTGCAAACACACCTTGCTGCGCATCGCCGCCTCTCTGAGCAACCTGGCAGGGTCCTTGTCCCTGTCACCTGCCAGGCAGCAAGGGGAGAGACAGGCGCATAAGAGTGGGGAAAAGCACCTTTTTGCATTAAATTTCCTAAGAAAAAGCAGTTGAGAGGGATCTAGATCAGAAGTGACTTTCCTGACAGTTCCTGCGAGCTGAGCAGTCACTGCTGGCCTTTTCCTTCACGCTGGGGAGAGATGCTTGTCAAAGGGGTCTTATTTGTTACTTTTTTATTTGTTATGGGTATTACTGTGATCACCAGAGCATCCACCCACTGCCCCAGATTACTCTCG